ATGATTAGCATGCATTGATAAAATATTTATAATTTAATTAGAATTTATATATTCACTTACAGTTTTACTATTCTTAATCAAAATTTAAAAATGGATGTATTGCAGGCAATACAATACATTATTAAAAGCTGGGAAGATATCACACCTGAAACCGCTGGAAACATACCAAAATCCTCCCAGCTGCCATTAATGCTGTTGACAATGTTGGAGAAACTAATATTCATACATTAGAAGAACTTTCAGATTCAATTGGAGCACTTAACCTATCTAATGCTACGCCAGCTGATGAATTTTTAAATAATCCAGAAGGAGAAATGGTTTATGTGGTTCCTGATGATGATGATAAAATTATTGAGGGTCTTGTAGAAATATTAAGAAACAGCCAGACAGTGTCTATTGAGGATATCGAAGATGATAAAGATGATAGTATTGAGCCAGTGGTAATAAGTGCCAATGAAGTTTCAAAAAGTTTATGCATTTCTATTACAAGAAAATTCTAGTAAACAATTAAAAAATGCTAATGCTATTGATAAATTTATTAGTTTAAAAAAAATAAATAGAATGAAACAAACTACAATTATTAATTATCCTACCAATAATTAGTGTTAGTTGATTACTCTTTTAAACTCTTATTCAGTAAGTAAAAATACTGGCATTTAATTTTGTATTTAATAAATAAAAATTTTTTTTTAATTTTTCATTATTGTCACGTGCAACCAATAAAATACTTTGTTCTATAAGTGCACCCCTCCATAAGTGCACGGTCTCAAGGGGGGTGCGCTTATGGAGGGTTGACTGTATAAAATTTACTAACAAACTTTTTTGCATCTTCTCATTCAAAAAAAAAGATACAACTATAAAATTAAGAGATATTATAACAAATGTAATGGTTCACACACATGATGACAGTTTTTTTAGTAAAATCATCCAAAATGTTAAAAAATACTGTTAAACTTTGAAATGTATAGGCTCAATAACCAAACAATTTAGAGTAAAAAAATTTCCATATTTTTTTTTCTGTGATTCAAAGAATAACCTGACAGAGAGTTTTTTTAAAAATTATTAGTAAAAAAAATTTATTAAAGGATTAAAGATGTATGATTTTATTAATAAAAATTTTTTTGGTAATCATTTCCTTTTAAAGAAAACATAAAGTATCTTTCATAATACAATAATAATAAGAATCATAAGAAAAAGTCTTTGTGTTTAATAAAATACTGAAGCCCAATAAAAGAAAAAGGCTAATTCATAATGCACATGCAGTCAAAAAAATGAAAACTAATTCCTCAGAACCTTTGCTCCTTGTAGAATCTCTTGTAAGATTATTTATTTTATTAAGCATTCTCTTCAAAAGGAAAAGATTTTTGAAGGAAAAAAAGATTGGAAATTTTTTTACTCTAAATTGTTTGGTTATTGAGCCTATACATTTCAAAGTTTAACAGTATTTTTTAACATTTTGGATGATTTTACTAAAAAAACTCTCTGTCATCATGTGGACCATTACATTTGTTATAATATCTCTTAATTTTATAGTTGTATTTTTTTTTGGATGAGAAGATGCAATTTTTATTTTTATAATTGTTGAAAAAAAGTCTATTAGTAAATTTTATATATGATGTTGATTAGTTTTGATCTACATCAGTCCATCATACACCCCAATGATTTACCAAGTGTTGCATGCATGCATAATTTGATGTTTGTTGCCACATAAATCTGGGATCACAAAATTCGGAATTTTCAAAATGCTAAGGCTCAGCCAGTTTTCAGTTTAAGAAAAAACCAGCCAATAAGTTTTGAAGCTTGAGTCATGAACAATAAAACTTATTGGTTAAATTTTTTAAAATGAGATGATATTTTTTTTTTGTTTTAGTATTTTGAAGTTGACCAACTGTTATTATAAGCAATTAATGATTATAGATGATCTGCACCATATTTTTGTATAATTTTCAAAATTTGTATCAAAAATTTTCTTTTTAGTCCACTTCATATAGAGATGGGAAATTTTGAAATTTCATATGCATTATGCATTGCATTTTTTTTAAAAAAAATTTAGAATATATATATCTAAAAAAAAAATATATATATAAAAATCCAATTTTCACTATTATTATCACTACTACTGCATTCTTCTTCACCACTTTCTATTCCAATTGTATCATCACTTTTATCATTCCCACTTCCCACATTTCCATCACCATCAATTGTAATATCCATATTATCATTGTTGGTATTTTTGGACATTTTAATTTGTAATTAAAATAAATATATACCAATTTAAAACACATTCAAGTGTCAATAGTTTATTTCTCTTTTGATCATTTATAAAAGAAAACCAATATTTTTTTAGAAGCAAAGCTAATGAAATAGGAGCTGAAATTACCAATCCTACCCAGTTTAACAAATGAGGCCAAATTTTTGATTTTGTCATTTCTTAAAAATACTATCAATAATATAATCAATAATAACTTGGTAAAAATTAAAATTCTCGTTTTTTTTTAAATAGAATTGCATACATGTCTAAAATCTATGTGCAGAATGCTCATTCCAAGCATAATAATTTATTTGTGCACAGTATAATTTTAGAGATATGCACCATCTGACCTCAATTTTATAAATTTGTGGCTTAATGGCAAGATCAAATAAAATATTAAATTATATATATAAATATATATTAATGCCAGTTCACAATATTTTTTTCTGATGAACTTTTTCAAATATAAGATATCTTTTTGATAAATTTGTTATTTGTGAAAATAAAGAAAAAAGTAATGAAAGATACAAACAGGCAGTAACTACACAAAAGCAAGAAAATAAGGAAATAACTAAATAAAGTATGTGAAGATTTTGATCCAATTTGGTTATGAGTTTACTCTTGGCTTGAAAAAGTGAAGACAGTAATAGAAAAGTGACAATGTTTTTGAAAAGTATAAACAAAATTTATCAATTGTTTTATAATTTATTTTATTATTATGTAAAATTGCTTGATAATAATGTGCAGTCAGTGCACATAATTTCAAGTTCAGATTTTAGACACTGATTGTATATGGGACATTGCACGATTTGAAAAAAATCATGCACATTATGCACATGATGCAATGTGCATTGCATTTTTTTCATGCACATGTCACATCTCTAGCTCCATACATGTATGGTCCACTCATATCACAACGATTTTATTGGCTAAAATTTGTACACATAATAAATTTTAAAACTCAAATTTAAATACCCTTTGTGTCACTTTGATGGTTTCTTTATTGTGATAGAATTCTTTACAAAAAAAATTTCTTCCCACACCCATCTTTAAATGCTGGAATACCAAAACAAGTTTAACTTAAATGTATTATGGTTAGATGAAGCTAGAAAGGATCCTACATGGTGATCTGCTTTAAAAAATGAGGTGCCAGTATTTTCTGAATTTACTGCTAAACTTATGTCAATTCCCGCCTCATCAGCAGCAGCAGAAAGAAATTGGGCCATTTTGGCTTTGTTCATAGACTGACTGATGACAGAGTTTTAAGTTGATTTATATATTCAAATCTTCATTAAATCTTCCATTTTTATACTTGTGCTATGTATGACTGTCATTTTCCCCGAGTGGTTTCACACAAGTATTATGTAATCGTTAGATTATGATGATCTTTCCAAAAAAGCAACGTTATTTCTTTTATAGGCAAGACTTTCTTCATGTCTAACAAAAAATTTTAGCACATACACAGTGAGTCTCGATTTAACGGGTATTTTTTTCCAGAAAATTTATCCGTTAAATCGAGAGATCCACTAAATCGAAACTTATGATCAAATCATGTGATACAAATTAAATGTGTATATATATACAA